ATTCGTTATTGAACCTAGGATCATTGTCATTAATTTCTCGAGTACCTAACTACCACGGTTACTTGCCCGGCTCTATAATAATCGTATTTGCACTAGTCAATGTCTTCTCTATTGCATAACGACAACGTGTAACCCAAACGAAGATTCGTTTCACGCCCCTAACCCTAATTCTAATGTAAACCCGACATACTTATATATTTATAACAATAAAACACGTCTCATCTATACTACTTACCAATACGTATGCATATATGTATATAATTATAACCCAAGTAGCATTCATAATATTTATTTTCACTGATAACATGTACATAAAACCTAAAATAAAACAAAGGTTTTAACAATAAGAAAAAAGGAGAGAAAAAAATAGAGAAAAGAATACATATAAATATAAAAATTTTCTTTTTCTATATACATATATTAATAATAATAAAAGGTTATTCTTATTTCTGATAAACTCGAAAGTAAAACGACAAACGACAACATTATACCATACTACCATTATACCATATACTGACACAAAGACGCACCACACAGAAGAAACTAATAGAGAATGCTTTAAGCTTGGCAAACTTACCGCCCGACGAATTTGCATACACCATAACCAAAACCCAGGACACATGGCTTTGATCGCAGGAGAAGCGGTCCATATAGTCAAATGCATTCCGGTACAAGTAAAGATACGACATAAAACAGAATGCTACTCAGAGCTACCCGTTTGGCAAGGGAATCACACCACAGGAACTCCGCCCGGACATGCGCCAAACGTGGCGATATTCAGCACCATCGTCGTTGGCCACGGGCGGAATATATACCCAAAAAGACCTCGACGCACGAGGACGACGTCATGTTCCCGGCAGAAAAATCTGCAGTCTTGAACACATTGGCCAGAGGAGCGACAGGAAAAACAATCGTTCCTGGAACAGTAACATCCTGGGAATGATGGACGAAAACACATTAACGACAATAGCGAAAAATACCGTATCAAGCTTATGGACTGTCAGTGCAGCAATATTTGGAATACTCGTAATGTTTAAATTAATCAAGACGATAATAGATATAGCCATATACGGATACCAGTTACGTGAAACTTACGGATGTGGAATCGCCCTATTA